TCACCACCCCCCCTACTCACCCCCCCCCCACTCACCCCCCCACTCACCCCCCCCACTCACTCACCCCCCCCTCTCACCCCCCCCCCCCACTCACCCCCCCCCCACTCACCCCCCCCCACTCACCACCCCCCCCCACTCACCCCCCCTCCACTCACCCCCCCCACTCACTCACCCCCCCCCCCACTCACCCCCCCCCCACTCACTCACCCCCCCCACTCACTCACCCCCCCCACTCACCCCCCCCATTCACCCCCCCCCCCACTCACTCACCCCCCCCCCACTCACCCCCCACTCACCCCCCCCCCACTCACTCACCCCCCCCCACTCACTCACCCCCCCCCACTCACTCACCCCCCCTCTCACCCCCCCCCACTCACCCCCCCCCCCCACTCACCCCCCCCCACTCACCCCCCCCACTCACTCACCCCCCCTCTCACCCCCCCCCACTCACCCCCCCCACTCACCCCCCCCCACTCACCCCCCCCCCACTCACTCACCCCCCCTCACTCACCCCCCACCCAACTCACCCCCCCCCTCTCACCCCTCCCCACTCACCCCCCCCCACTCACCCCCCCCCCACTCACCCCCCCCCACTCACCCCCCCCACTCACCCCCCCCCCACTCACCCCCCCCCACTCACCCCCCCCCACTCACCCCCCCCCCCACTCACTCACCCCCCCCACTCACCCCCCCCCCACTCACTCACCCCCCCCCCACTCGCTCACCCCCCCCCCACTCACCCCCCCCACTCACCCCCCCCCCACTCACCCCCTCACCCCCCCCCTCTCACCCCCCCTCACTGTGGCTACACACGAGGTGGCGGTGGGTGACCAGCACCACGCCCGGCCGCCTTCGTCTCCCTGGTGGCGATGTTCGCTACACACCGCACCAGCTACTCGCTTTGAGGCTGAGTCGACCTAGGGGAGGCCCAGGACAGGTTTAGATAATCGTCACTGGCGGTGTTGGCCGTGAGCCGGAATCGAACTCTGATCGCCGGGTTCATAGCGCTAACCGCTGCACCACCGCTCCCCACACCGCGAGAGACACACACGCGGAGACAGACACGGGGTGAGGTGTGCAAGAGACATCAAGTGTATTCACAGGTCACCACGGAACCCGCAGGGTTCAGGGAGTCACACCACACGCACGTGCCACCCACCGTGACGTCCCAACCCGTGCGCTCGACCCGTGTTCTTGCAACAGGCGAGTTTT